CTGCGCCGCCTCCCCGGCCCCCTGGAGTCGCCCTCCCGGCTCCGGCCAGGTGTGGGGCCTCCTTTCAGCCGCGAGCGGCCAGGTGTGGACACCCTGAGTGACTGCTCGCCCCTTGCACGATTACTTGCGTTAAGTCTTTGTTTTCTGCGGAGCTCGTTTAGAGTCAAAACAAGTGGAGAGCAAACCTGATTTTATCTTCCCAGAGATTTGGTGTGGGCCAATAAACCTTTTCAGACCTCATTCTCCCTGGTGCTGATTATATTTTAATGATCTTCACAAAGCTTTGATGAGAGATTCTGAACAGCCAGCCCCGGAGACATTCAGAAGTGGATTCCAAACAGCTTGTCGCACCCTGAAGAGTGAACTGAGGTGTCTCAGCGTCTGTGCTCTCTCTATAGTGCCTTGATTTTTCCTGGTACAGTGAGAAAAAGACTTTGTAAACCTACGACAATATATTTTATATATTACCGTCTGGGCATGTCGTGCATCAGGTAGTCGACATACCATCATCGTACATGCACATATTTCATATATAACAAACCTGTAGGATTTAGGAGCAAACTGCTTTAAAGTAATAGGCCACTCTGCGAGCAGTTTGGTAATTCAGTTTTCTGCAAGTTCGAGCACTGGAGCCAGCTGAATTCTTCTGTGACCTGGAGGGAAGAGTTCCTGGGGAAGGGTGGAAGCAGAGGAGAGGATACAGAAGTGAGAGTGAAAATTCAAATGCCAGGCTCCAGGCGGGTGTGGGCGGGAGTGCAGGGACTGGAGCGGCTGAGGCCAGACCATGGCCGTGAATTGAGCCCCGTCTGGGCTGCACGGTGAGTTCAAGGCCAGCCTGGGCTGCACAGTGAGATGCTGTCTCAAAAACCCAGGGGCCCAAAATCGTCCTGGGAGTCCTAAACCTTCGGTTAGGATGATTCCATTTGGAAATAATTGTTGAGGCCGCACGGTTTGTGAAAAGCAACTCTGAAGTTATAATCCAGCCCACAGAGGAGGAACTTGGAGAAGGGGGAATTGAAGACACCAAAGGGAGACCTTTGGGCCTCCTCCAATGATGAAAGGATCCAGATCCCGGGCAGCCTGGAGACTCAAGGGGTTACAACAGACAGCTAAGGGTCACACCAGTCCTGCCAGACTCAGCCAGCTGAATTCTCCTGTTACTGGGGATTGAACCCAAGGTCTTCACGCTGAGCCACATCCCCACCCCTTTGTACATTTTATGCATTTTTAAATTTTTTAATGTATTTTTTAGTCTCGCTAAATCCCCTTACCAGCTTTCCATCAACCAATTTTTTATTCTTACAAACCCTGTGATGGTCCCAAAGGAGGAGGAGGAGGAGGGAAAGCTCCTCGAAGACAGTGAGGCCCTGTGTATCTGGTGTTCAGCCCAGGACCTTGATAAATTCTGTAGAGAAAATAAAATCAGACTCTCATCCAAGTGAGTCTAGGGGACAGCAGTGCCAAATACAGTCGCTTTGCGGGGAGCTTTAGCACATGAGTGCGGGACACAATCCAGTTCATCCCAGGTGTTTAACAGGTGTTGGTAGGTTTGCTGGAGAAAGAGAGAGGAGCGCGGCGAAGTGGTTTACATTCTGGGAAGCAGACTTTGAGGAAGCACTGCCAAGGTTTAACATATTGACAATTGCTAACATTTGTTCATTGCTTCCCACGGGCCAAGTACTGCCGCAAGGACTTTCCATTCTATTGTAACTAAGTCTCTAGACAGCACTCCAAAGTAGACACGACTGTTATTGTCATTTTACAGCTCAGGAAACTTAGACCCAGAGAGATGAACTGGCTTACCCAAGATTGCCGAGGAAAAAATTGTATTTTTACCCAGGAATCAAACCTTAGTAATCAGATCTAGAGTCAATATACTTAACTACAACACTGCAGTAGGGGCAAAGACAGGAAAAAGTTCAAAGACACAGGCTGGCCCCGTGTTTAGGAGGTTCGTAGAGATCACAATTAGTAAGAAACTTAGCCTAATTCCCAGTGATGGTTCAAGGAATGCAGAATTGACCTAACATTAATTTTGTATTATCCAGAGGCCCTGCTCTCTATTTCAGTTCTACTTATACAGACAAGATAGTAAGTTTTTCTTTTTCATTGCATCTCCAAATGCCTCAGAGGACTGGGAAAGATTTACTGATGTCTACTGACCCTAGAGCTTTGACTTCTTTCCATTTAGACAAACAAATAAAAAGTAGTATGCACATCTGTTTTCTCTCTTCTTATATAAATGTGACAGAATCAAAACTCTTCAGCAGTAATTAGAATGTATTTCCTAGAAGCCCTTTCCAAGATGGTCCTTCTTGTGTACTCTTTGGACATGCCAGTCAGGTCCTCCTTCTCCTCTGTAAGGCAGAAGGCAGTATCCATTGGGATTCTTTTCCTGGTAGAGCTGTTGGCACATCTTGCAGTGCCTCCTGGGAGACAGACTTCTAAGTAAGCGGAATGTAGCCAGAATGGGAAACTCAAGTTCCATGAATCAACTATTGGATTTAACACTGACCCATGCTATTTCCATCCCTTGATTCCTGGACTCATCTGTTTTGCCCAAGAAACAGGTAACGCTATTCTCTCTTCCAAAGAATGGATGGTGTCCTTCAAGACATCACCATCATTTCAGGGTGCTGACTGCCAACTGATACTATACTGAATCTTCCTCTGTACCTTTAAAACTTGCCCACTTGCTCCAAGATAGTGGAGCCATGAGGAGAGCAGTTAATTCTGTGGCCCTGAGCCCTTTGCTTTACTTCATGCCACATTTTGAGCATTGCTGGTGTGCCGTGAGAAATTCCATGCTGTGGACGAGCTATTCTGGGAGTCTATAGATAGCGCTACTGGCAAAAACATTAAAGGTGGGGGAGGCAAATCTATATCCAGAAAGTATCTATTCCACTGAGAATAAATGCCCGCCCCTTCTGAGATGGAAGCTGCTACTGGATGGGGGCTGGTTTCACGATGAATGGGATAATATGGGGGTCAGGGTTGCTGCCTATTGTCGACGTGTTAGCCCTCAGTGGCAGAATTAATCAGACCAGCCTTGGTAGGATGAAGTGGGTGCGGTTCAGCCAATGAATAGTCTGCCTCCCACCACTGCCACTCTGATCCTGGGCTTGTAAACATGCTCTGAGTGATTGATGGACATCCACGCAGTACACAGTCTGCCCACCTAATTATGCTACTAAGGATTTCCTCTTCTGTGAATGCACTTTGATTAACACACGCAACACAAACGGTCATTCTAAGAGGTCCATTCATATCCCTTTCCCAGATGTCCCAGTCACCAATTTTCTTAATGTCAACTGTCAACTTCCCGTGAATTAGTATCATTTGAACTACCAGCCATTTCTTAGTCCTGCCATATCATATAACTAAGTGTACTGCTCAAAGTACTATCCACGAGGACAAATTTCCTATAACAGCACCCTTCACTGCAAATAATGCAGTATGATCAGCAAACTGGGTCTGGCTTCTTTCTCCCTTGGTGGCTGGTCTGTGATAGTTTGGATGTGCTTTGTCTCCCAAGGGTCCATGTGTTGGGTTCTAGGTCTCCAGTGTAGCAGTATTAGAAGGTAGAATCTTTGAGAGGCGGAGACTAGTGTGAGGTAGTTAGGTCACTGGAAGCATCACCCCAGGAAAGGATTAATGCTGGTCTGTGGATGAGCTCAGTCTTGTGAGAGTGAATTGCTATAAAAGAGTAAGACTGAGCCTTCCTTAGTGTCTGGTTTTTCTTGCTTGGCTGTGATCTTCAGCTCTCCATATGCTGGTGCCACGATGCTAACTGCCATTAGGCCCTCATCAGAAGCTAAACTGACAGAGCGTCTGATCTGGAAATTTTAGTCTCTGAAACTGTGAGGAAAGCAACCCTGTTTCCTTTGGAAAATTCTCAGTCCCTGGTGTTTTGTTATAGCAACAGAAAAGGGGCTAACACATGGCCATAAGGAACATCCCCAAGAAACCATTAACTGCAGGAGGGAGAAGGGGCAAAGTACCCTTAGAATCAAAGGAATCTAAGTCACTTGCCCAGGGAACTTACTTGCACCTCCTGTGCCTGCCCAAGCGCAGGCTATTGTATACCATTACCTTCCCCTCATAGAGTCCTGTTGCCCACACAACCTAATTATGGCTGGGTGGATCAGACAACACCCTGTTCATGAGGAGAAGCTCAGCTCACGTGGTCAGCCAACACACCACGTGCAGCTATTCAGCCTCTATCAAGGCCTAGTGGCAGGGTGAAAGCTATTTGTCAAGAGAAAAGTAGTGATACCCAGATTGAAGCATAGATGTGTGCCGGAATCCTACAGGCTGCTGCGGTGGTTATCTGTCCGTGCCCGTAAGACACTCCACACAGCATTCTGTCTCCCATAGACATTCCAAGTATCACTGGACTTGGCAGACAAAGAGACTTGAGTGCACATGACTTGATCCACACCCGAACCTGCTGCAGACACTTCTGATGCCCCCCCTACTTCAAATTAGCAGCCTCATGGGCGACTTCATAGATGGGTCCAAGTAGCGCATTCAAATGTGGCATATGTGACTTCCCCCAACATGAAAAAGCTGACCAGCCTGTCCCCCATTTTCCACTGTAGTGGTCTAAGGAGCAG